CCGGGTTTAACCAGGGCAGTGTGGGATCTCACCAGGGCTCTGAGGGGTCTAACCAGGCTGGTGAGACCCCCACATAGCTCTGGTGAGACCCTACAGAGCCCTGGTTAAAGCAGGGCTTGGTAGGGTCTCACCAGGGCTCTGTGGGGTTTAACCAAGACTAGTGAGACCCCACTGAACCCTACTTTAACCAGGGCTACGTCAGTGCAACAGTTTGAATTTAAAACGTATTTGTGTGAAGTGTGAAGTTAAGTCATGGATTGAACAGAAATATGAACAATTATAAAATAATTTCTTTGTGTTTATTTGATTCCTATTCAAGAGAATTACTTTATATATAGTCAATATAGGCACAGAGGTAAAATGTTTTAACATTTTCTAATGGTGGTGTGCCTCGTGATTTTTTTCATGAAAAAAGTGTGCCTTTGCACAAAAAAGGTTGAAAAACACTGCTCTAGCTGTTCAGTATGACACAATGCATATTACCCATCTCCTTGGGTATAAAGCTAGGACCATCAACATGATCTACATTATATTATTGAATGGTTGCAATGTGTTAGAGCAGATACACTGCATCTCAAAATAAATACATGACAAAATAAAATGGCATATATTGAAGATGATGAAGACGACAAAAAATACATATTATTTTAGTTGGATTTGAATGAAACAACAAAACATCAATATTGGAAATGAAATCGGTATATAAGAACTGAATGCAGTTCAGATTCCATGCATTTGTCCCAAAAAGAAAAACCCAATGTTAAGTATGTGGATTAAAAGGTTTTGTTTCGAAATGGAATCTATTCACATGAAATGGCATCTTAATGGCAATGTAGTTATGTATGCATTAACATATTGTTTAAGGTTGTCTGCCACTGACTACATAGAATAAACTGATAGAGCTGTTTCACTCATTCTATATGCTGCAATATGTCTTCCATATCACAGCATGTGATGGTACTCTGACTACAAACAGAGAACGCTAGCTTATTCTTTTGCTGTTCTTTACTTATATTTAAAATAAAATTGTGTATTAAAGCACATACAGCATGAGCTGTTCTTTCTTAGACACCAAGATTTCATTGAACAGGACTCTTCAACACATCACACTAACAAATTATAAAGGAAATATGCACATTTTGCTATATGTTGAATGTAGGATATAAAAATCCAAAATGTTCACTTATTAGGAATGTCGTGCTATTTCATTTCAGTATTTTAGTATAAAAACAGTTCAAGAGCCCTATCCAATTACACGAGATAACAAACCTAGAATTTCATACAGTACATGGTGGACAATATAGAGCATTTGAAACAACACTAGATAGACAATGATAGCAACACTGTTAACACAATGTTTCCTTCCATACAGTAAAACAAATGTGACATTTTTAGGTTAGATTTTTCCTTTAAAAACATACTGAAACATGGATCACATAACTATTTACTTCACAACACAGTTCTTACCTGTACAATCTCCAATTAGAACCAAACTCTAGCAAAGGCATCTTGGGTGGCAAAGTTTTACTGTGCCTAACAGTATTTCTTGTGTATTACAAAGCACAAGAGAACACAAAGAAAGAATGCAATAGTACTTCAGAAAAGTAATTTGCAAATACACATATATATATTTATAATATTGCCTTTCATATTTTAGATTATGGAGTATATTTATAACACAGTGAATGTCACATTCATTGCAGGTGTCTCACCCTGGTACATGTGTTTTAAATTACACAGGTTGATTCACCTGCACTGAATGTTTGGTGAATTCCATACTCACGGTTTTATAAATATGTGTATGTGTGCACTGCAATTATTATATGTCAAGATTCATTATATGACCAGAGATTTTTTGACTGGCCATGCGATAGGACTTGCTATGCAAATGCGATCTGTTATAAACCAATATTATTTTGTTCCGACAGGGTGCAAGTTAAGATATTTGGCTTCAAATGTACACAACTGTCCCCTTCCTGAGCATTGTGCCTGCAAAATCAGCTAACATCAGCTTCATCACCCTAACCATATGCTGCTGAACACTTATTAAAATTTCAGTGTGTTGCTGATACTCCTTATCATACTTTTCAGAGTAAGTAAAACTACCATATATTTTTAGAAATGGCCATTGAAACCTTTATCTGCTATACTAAAGATAATACATTGTCATTAAGTATAGGTCAAGAGGAATACAATACAACCTCTAATGCTTAGAAAAGCCTGTGTTGCTAGTTTAGGTCAATAACAGGCCCTAGTAAGGTGGAAAGGTGGACAAACATATAGCTTTGTTTTAGGTCTCTTGTGCTTAAAACAGAGGGTCTGTTTTATAGTTTTAAACAAATCTAGAATAAAAAAACAATATTGATATACAATTGTTTTTGGATTGTTAAAAAAGGGGTATGTGTTGGCTGGGAAATGTACCTTATGGGCATGTTTTCCAGTCTAAGGGAAGCTAATGCTATATGGTACATAATTTACCTTTCATTAACTGCTAACCTTGCTGATCTTTCTCACCTTGATGCATAGAGATGATTACTGCAGAGCATTTTAACAATACATAAGAAAAATCCAGACACATGTTTGGCAGTTTATTTTGTAACTGAATTCTTTGAATGAAAATTGTAATAAAACAATGTTAACAAAAATTGGTTTGCGCGGATAAGGCTACATACAAGTGGTTGCTCACATTCAGTAATGTGCCACTTATTTCAGATACAGTAAACAGCCCACTTTGAAGGCCAATCCCTTTAACTAAAAAAAGGAAGTACATGTATGGCAGACAGCTGAGAGATGTTTTAGGCAGGATCCCAGGAGCCCCAGAGCCGGGGGGAGCCGTAATATGCACAAGGAAAGTTCAATTTGTGAAGTTGTGCTTAACCCTCTTCCACCTATACATGCCTATTGGTCTATCTTTATGATGGGTATCCATACCGACCAACACTGAGACCAAAGAAGTAGGAAGGGCAAGACTAAGAAGGACCTAGATCTGAAGCTTTTATGTGCTAGATGTTGAGGCTACTGGAAAACTCGACATTACTGTAATGGAATGTTTGTGTCTATGTTTAAAAATAAATAAAACATACTTTTGATCAAACCATAAGATGCATTGATTTGCCTTTTTGAAAGAAACCCTTTAGTTTGTTGCCTGCTTTGGCTTCAACACTGAGACATTGGGGTTGATTTACCAAAGTAGTAGAGCAAGTTCACCTTGCAAAGTGAATTTTGACTTGGCAAGGGTATTTTCACTTAGCTTAGTGAATGTGGTAAAAAAAAATCAGTTTGCAAAGAATATCTAACTAGGTGCAAAGAAATTTAAAATGTAATTCTGCTTGAACTTGATGGTGATACAAGTCTGTTCAGCTTCACCTTGTTCACAACACTCAGTGAAATGAAAATTAGCTTGCAAAGATTTACATTGCAAAGTGAACATGCTTCACTCCTTAATAAATTAGCCATTTGGACTCAAAACAGGGCTGCAGATCAGGAACATCAGAGCAAAGTCAGAACTCCAAATCTCTAGATTTATAAAAAAATCTTAAGTCAGTGCAACAGAACAACTGCCAGGAACGAGTATTTTGTGATGAAGAGGTCAGCACAGCCAGCCTCCATAATTCCACAGCAAAGCTTTCTCTGGTTAAATAAGTATACAATGTGCACAAGGCACACTTTTTTGAGACAATTCATTTACCCAGCATGTTGGAGGAAAAATCAATTACAAAGCAGTCAATTTCTATGTTAAAACAATGGACATATTTTGCTAAAGGTATGACTATTTTTGTTACCTTGAGAGATGTGTTCTCTTTAAAGTATAAAACAGCTAAAAGAGCATTACCCCAATTCGAAGGGATTTACAATACATACATACATACATACATACATACATACATTCTCCACATTTATATACAAAGAGTAGAGGCAACCGAAAAGAGGTTATTACTGAACATCTCTTTTTTTGTTGTCAGTCGTTAAACTGTAAAAATGAATTCCACTGATATAACAAGCTTAGATTATTCCAGTGTTTTACAAGTCTGGACCTCAAAGACTAATAGTTTATGTTGGAAGACTTCAACTGAGGTTCACTACCGTGTTAGTCACAATTTTAATAAGCAACATTTTTTGACCCGTGTTGATGGGACGGAAACTGGAAAACATGACCTATCAGTGGTACATGAGGAACAAGCTATAAAACACTAAGCCAATTGGAAGAAAACTTGTAGGGTTGTCTCTCTTGCAACCAACCAAATAAATGATTTTATCTGGAAGATCCCGTGTTATTACTACAAACAACAGATGTACATCTTCCAATTAATTTTGCTTCAGGTTTGAGCCAAACTGTACTTTAATGTATCTGCTACATCAAAATACACTTGTGCTTTGCCCATGCAGGGCAACGCAATAGGCTTACTATGATGGTGGGGCCACCAGAAGTTTATATTTATATTCCTTTTGCTCCCTGCACTGTTAAGATTAGTCATCAGGAAAGACAAGCAGAAGCCCTGTGTAACCATAAGGTCACAACTTGGAGCTTACACATGGAAAAATACTCTCTCCTAAACCCCATGTAACAGTAAGGGGTGCCTGAGATGCCAATTTTCATACACCAGCGCTGTCACATGGGAAGAAGAGGAGTGAGTTATCTGTTACCCCATGCCTGGGAGTAATGAGTGTTTTTCTTCACTCACTGCAGGGAAGCAAGCAGAAGGCATTTATAAGCTGCTGTTTGGGCCGCCAATAAAACTAACCTGTTGACTTGACCTAAATGGGCAAAACAGAGGTTCATTCCAAAAGCAAACAGTGCCAAAAAATCAGCACAGCATTATTTTAACATCTGGCCTACATTGTATCAGAAATAGTTAAAGAAAGGACTTGTTGTTGGGGCCTTTCTTTAACGTTCAATGCTAATGGTTAACTACTATTAAAACGGTTGCAATTCAAAGCTGTTCAGTGTTAAAAACGGTACTATCATGCTTTATGTATCCTCTTCCATTTCTAGTTGTCTATGTTTTTTCAAGAAAATTAATTAATAAGGGGACCAATTCTATTTCATGGTCTAAGCTTTAAAGCCCAATTCAAATTTTTACAAGCAGAACCATCATCCATATCATCTCCATATTAACACAGCTTTTTAGAATAATGGACCCTTGACTTTATCCACTCTGACTGTTGCTATCTTCTGAATACAAATTATGAACTAGAACCAGCCATTTTTTTTTTAAATCTCTCTAGAAATATTTGCTGGGCCAAATGACTTACTAGAAGTGTGGAGTTCTATAATAATAAAAGATGATCTGAAAGTCTAATTCTGTGACAATTTATCTTCATTTATCATTTGTTCAAATTATGATTCAATGCCCCAAAGCCACCATACAAAAGCAAACTTGCACTGAAAACTGACAGATATCAAACGTTTAAATCTGATTGGTTGCTTTGTGGCAATATAGTCTAGCTCTTACTTAAAGAGAAGTTATAATGGACTGGTGTCAATTTTACTCACAACTGAATACTTATATATCTGTTTTTACTATATGCAAACAAACCTTGTTTTAAAAAAATGTATTTCATACATTCTAAGAACTCTATTAAGTAAAGAGACAGCGCATCAGAAGCTGCTTGCCTCTGGGCTGGCTTTGTATGGCTGAATCCTTAGGCTGAACCATGTGATAAGTGATGGGTCACTGTGAAGACTCATTAACTTGTGGGTGTACATTTCAGCTTAAGCAATTGATCTCTGTAAACAACAGGATTTTTACAGCAGATGGTGAAGAAAAATTGAAAAACATGTGAAAAGGGGGTATAAAGCTCCACCTGCTGGATGAATTAGGGACTACATAACATTACAAGAAATACTTCATATTTACCTGGCTAAACAAATAAAAATATTTTTACATTTGTTTTTATTACTATACCATACCATATGTAATAAACTATAAAAATATATATATATATATATATATATATATTCCCTTTATAAAAATGATAAATGAGACCAACACCTTAAGGTCATTATTTTTGTAATAAGATGTCATTACAGCTAAAGATAAAAAATATATATACGTACAGTGTTTATTTGTGCCAGTAAAGAATATCTTGTATTACACCAGAGAATACATACTTGTCATTTTAATTAAGCTTATTGGGGGCAGAGGCATTGTTATTTTGCAACAAAATAGTAAGACACTTAACGATAAAATTACTGATAGCAGCAGCTTTTTTTAAAGACTAAGCAAAATATGGCTAGCTTGCACAGATGCAATCTTGAAGGAGTAATTATTAAAGAAAGCCAGTAATGAATAGAAATACTCATGACCCCCTTTGATGCCTCCTCCTTCTACCAAGTCCTGCTGATCCTTGAATTTCACTACGAGTAAACTTAATAACATAGAGCCAGTAAGCTGCTCAGGAGGTCAGACTTCACCAACTAAACATGTCAAATGGATCACTTACTTCAGCAATAGTGAAGCCAAATGATCAGTTACACAGAACTGAAGGATGTGCTTTGAGTGGGGAAGGGGGGATAAAAAAAAATGGAGGTCAATGTAATTATTTTCATGACTGATTCCTTTTAATAAGACATGTGTTTATGATCTAAAATCATCTAGTTGCATTATATATAAGTATAACAAAAAAGATTAAGCTATAAATGTATAAGTTGCAAGTTCACAATACCTGATGGTATGTAGGCACTCAGCACTTCGGCCACGTTTTGCCCTGGGCAACATAAGAAGCTCACTGTCAAATACAGAATTATTCATTAGCTATCAATTTTAATAGCCAGTTCCTACTACAGACATAACACACTTTTATCATGTATAGTTTAAAGACAAAATGTTCCCCACCCATTTAGAGGAAAGTGACAGTGCCTCCTGATGGCCCATTCCCCCAACAAGGTAAACCCATTGATACCCCTAACAGAGTAGGTTGTCTGGGTTAATGTGAGCATGTGACCTCTCCAAAGTGACAGTGCTTGTGCATCAGTGTCAATAGCCAGGGCCAAGCACTGTTGATTGTGCGAAGGGGACAGTGCATCATCCACCAACTCCATTGATGGTTATTCACAACTCCTGCAGTGAGGAGGTGGTGAGGGAAGGCAGATTGAAGAGTATATCTTGCAGGGGTGGGTGAATGACCAGGAAAGTGACAGTGTCTCTAAGTCTAACTCATTGGGGTTGATTTACTAACCTTATAAACACACCACAAACGTGTATACACCTCTGCAGTGTGTTCCCTCCCAGCATGATCTATGGGAGGAATCTAAACACCTTTGTAATGTGTACACACCCAGCAGGTGTGTTGTGCAAAGCCCTGAAGGAATTCCAAGGTGATGTTGGGTAAATTAGCTCTATGTTGTGTTGCTTGCGTTGATGAATGCAAGGAATGTAAAGGCATGAGCTAACCATTTTTGTCTAAACTGTGAAGCAGCATTATATATGCATCATGTGCATGATTTTTCCATATATGGCATTAGTGGAAATATGCTTTTAGAGACTTTTTGGTTGATAAATACATTTTGCTGTGTGAAAATCACACACACCTGGTGTGTGTGTGTGTTTAGGTTAGTAAATCACCCCCATTGTGTACATGTTATTGACTTTGCAACAGGAGGGGGTGATCCATATGATTTATTATTTCAAATATTCCATGGCATTCATTATGAAATACTAATATAGAATATTATACAGTGACTCACATACATTGATATTTTAATGTAGCAAAGGGTCAAAATGTACTATGGAAAAAATAGTCAGTTATGTGCTGGGAAAGGCTAATCCCCTCCAATAATACAGGACTAGCATTGGCAAGCAAACCTACCTATCTTGATCAGATAAATACTGACTGTCCGAGTCCCTGGACCTGTGAGTAACTGGACTGCGGGAGGCATCATGGTGTCTTGTTGGAGAACGTGATCGTCTCATTTGATGAATTTCATCCAGACTCCTAGAATTGGCCAAGAAGAGTAAGTGTACATTTACTTTAAGAATGTCCAGTGTACAGAAGTTTTCACAAAAGTTTAAAGCTGTCTTTTAAACCTACTAAATTAATCCCTGGCTTCATCATTTAGTATCAGAAGGTTTCTGATTTTTTTTTTAGTAGTTCTGCTCCTGTTAAGCTTCTATGCGATGTTAATATTGTCATATTACATCTGTGGCATTTTAAATACGGTACCAAAAGTGCAGTGCATTCTAAATGTTTACTAACATTATAGGCATGACAGCACAGTGACTAAATATGCAGTGCAGAACACTTCTGGAACAGATAAGATAGATTTTGCGTTTTAGGGAATGATTGGGGTAAAAGTGAACATATACTCTATTTTAAACTTTTAAAAGTAAATGTCCTGCCTCAAAGCAGACACAATATGCTACACAAGCTGAGGGCTATGGGCATAGATGAGGTGGTGTGTACGTGGATAGAGAACTGGCTACGGGAACGTGTCCAGAGGGTATCTGTAAATGGCACCTTTTCAGACTGGGCTAGTGTAATGAGCGGTGTGCCTCAGGGTTCTGTGCTGGGTCCCATATTGTTCAACTTATTTATTAATGACATCGGGGAGGGTGTTAACAGCGATATTTCCGTGTTTGCGGATGACACCAAAATAGGGAGGGTAATAGACACGGACTTAGACACTATAACATTACAGGAGGACCTGGATAAAATAGGGGAGTGGGCATTAATGTGGCAGATGAGGTTTAATGTCGATAAATGCAAAGTAATGCACTTTGGAATTAAAAATAAACAAATGGGTTATACAATTATGCGTATGCCGCTGGGGAAGTCAGAAATGGAGAAGGATTTGGGGGTCATTGTAGACCACAAACTGAAAGGTAGTTTGCAGTGCCAGGCTGCTGTAAACAAAGCTAGCAGGGTCTTGTCCTGTATTAAAAAGGGGATGTATTGCAGGGACAAGTCTATAATTTTGCCACTTTATAGATCATTGGTTCGACCTCATCTGGAGTACGCGGTCCAGTTCTGGTCACCAGTACTAAGAAAAGATGTCCTTGAGTTGGAAAAAGTCCAGCGGAGGGCAACCAAACTAATTAGGGGTATGGAGGACCAGAGCTACGAGACAAGGCTACTAAATGTAAACATGTTCACATTAGAGGTGAGGAGATTAAGGGGGGATATGATTTCCATGTACAAAATGTTCAATGGTGGTAGCAACATTAGCGATAAACTGTTTAAAATTAACTCCGTTACAAAAACTAGAGGCCATCACCTAAAATTGGTGGAAAAAAAATTCCAGCACAAGGGGCGAAGGGGGTTCTTCACAGTAAGATCAGTTAGGGTCTGGAACTCACTGCCACAGGCGGTGATTTCAGCAAATAATGTGGAATTGTTCAAGAAACTTTTGGACGATTTCTTAAGGGACCGTAATATACAGGGGTACAGGTAATATACAGGGGTACAGGCACTCCTAGAATGAGATCCTAATAGGTTGGACTTGATGGACTAATGTCTTTATTCAACCTCAAATACTATGTAACTATGTAACAATATGCCTTTTATAACCTGTGTTAGCCAGAAAAGGCTCCATTGTGTCCTTCTCTGATTTAGGTTTGCTCTGTTGCTGGAGCCTGACTTTCCATCACCATAGAGAGCGCTTTCCACGATCCAATGAGCCTGCCTCATTGGAAATAAGATTTTACTACCAATACAACTTCTTTGATTATCCTTTCCCCAAGAGGGGTTTTTGTTTTGTTTGTTAGGATCTGCCTGTCAAAATCACCATGGCCTTCCCTGTAAGACTTTGAGTGCTTGTTTGTCTCGTGTCATACAATATATTTTCACAACTATGACCATTGCTATTCCCAGCCTAAACCCTTAGCCCACAAACACACAAAAGACCTATCAACTTTCTGTTGCAAGATTGTCCCTGCAGACTTTCTTTTCTCAGTGGTTAATAACTACTTGTCATTAAACTTAATTGTTAATATTATTATCATTATAATAGGGTGATGAAAAAGCCCTTAAAAAAGGCAAGATCTTTGCTGGCATATAGCCCAGTGCCCGATTACACAAAAATATAAAACACACATGCACAAACAGACAAGGTTGAAGACTAGAAATGCAGTGGTCAGCCATGGAAACTGAGTGCGCAAATATATCAAGCTTGCTTCTATTTAAAACATGAAGATGTAAAGTCACAAAATCAGCTCAGGGCTTCCAATAACCACTGGGACTCATGTACACCCATCTAGATTGTGAAGAAGTCTATTTAAAAAAAAAAGCCTTTATTTAAAGGAGAACTATGGGGTTAGGGCTTTACCACATAGTTCTCCATAGGGTAACGGGAGGACACAAACTAGCGTCCTCCCGTCACCCTAAGCTCAGTATACCGCTAGCTACAGCTCGCGGTATACTGAGTCGCCGCAGCTGAAGCAGATCCCGACAATTATGTCTGCATCCGCCCAGCTGCGTGAGTGACAGCTGGCTCTGCCTATCTAGAGGCAGAGCCAGCTGTACCCGCCCCTCCCCTGTCCGTTCCTGAAATCTGAAATATTTGTCTCAAACAAAAGGCACTTTGTCCATTGAATGGCTCGAAAATGGCATATGGTTTTATCAAAATCAATGGCACCCTCACTGCTGAGACATACAGGCATATTCTTATCCATCATACAATAACATAAGAGATGCATCTGATTCGTTACAACTTTATTCTGCAGCATGACAATGGTCCCAAGCACAGCCAAAATCTTAAAACTCACCGCAGCGAAAAGAGGAACAAGGGATCTTGCAACAAATAAAGCCCTGATCTCAACATCATTAACCTAGTCTAGGATTACATGCAGAAACAGAAGCAATTGAGAAAACCTACCATTGGAGTATCTTTAGAAAACTGCATGCAAGTATACCTATGAAAATTGCTACGGTCTTACCAAAGGGTGGTCACATCAAATATTGACTTTATTTATCTTTTTGATGTTTATTCAATTTTCCAGGAAGTTTCTGGGTTAATAAAACCAAACAGAGTCCTTCTGCGGTGCAGACAACTACCATGACATAACCAGACACATTCATAGTCAAGCGCATTCTGCCACATCAGACAAGTGTTCTTAAACTATAGGTCAGGACCCAAAATGGGTCACAAATGCAAATGTGTTTGTGGCAGGTCACCACAATTCTGTATAGTAAATGTAACTTAGTATGTCATAGAATCCCTGGTGAGTGATGCAGCACACTACTAGTGTACTACTGAGATCTGAGGTACAGCCAATAAAAAAATGCAGTTAATATATCATAGAAAGAGTTTGTTTCTAGGGGATGAAAATGTAATAAATATTCCTAGCCAAAACACCACCACCCCTCCCAAAACCTGTAAACAGAATTGAACAAATATGAGTGACAGCACAGACACAGAACGTAGCACAATCTGATTACTGATTTATCTCGTCTTTACTGAAGCTTACAAAAATGGTAAAGAGAGCTAGCAATGTGTTCAACCGCATTGTTATTTGTCTTTGTTTAGTTCTGCTGACATTTTGCCAATAATTCCCTTCTTGAGACCCAGCACCGTAACAATATTCTTATTTTGGTCCTCGGTTTAAAAAGCTTAAAAACCACTGCCTTAGACACATCCACATAAGTGCAAAAAATGGTGCACATACACCACAGGTCATGCATAAAAACTGGGACCTTCGACTGGTCATTCCTCTGTCGATAAACTCTTAGTAATGCACGAACACATCTTACCTCTGTAATGGCACATTTGGTAAACGTGAGCGGGTCCTGCCCTGATCATCAACACGGTGAGGAGATACGGAACGTGAGCGGTGATGGGTCACTCTTTGTTGTTCTGGCACTGTTAACGTTGTGGATCTGCTTTGTCTAGTATTAGACCTCGAACCTAGCAATGTAAAACGTTCTGCTTGTAAAATAAGAATCACAAACGAACATGAAAATACACTTTGATAGAGCAAGTCTTTGAATTGTTTGAAACCTCTTGTTTTGAAAATAGTTTGTAACCCATACATAAAAATATATGGCATTGTTGGTATGTGAAGCACACGTGAATATGTTTCCCTTATTTCTCATATTTAAATCTTAATTTTCAAGTATAAAAAAAAATGTTGATTCCTCAGACATTGCATCAACACAGTCTAATTTAAAGCGTAAAAAAAATAATGTAATTCTTATGACTAGCATGCACATATTCTCCACATGAAAGCAAATACATAAAAATAAGTATAACTGGTTATGTTCTATTTCTGCAATCAATCAACATACAATAAAAAGAACAGACAACGTTCTGTCATGCTCCACAACAAGCTCACAGGCAAGTTTGAATATAGAAAAACATTATAAGGAAACATAGTTGAAAGATTACTTGAAGCAGAACTCCCACCAGCACTATTGATGCCCAAATCCCAAAGAACTGCCTTACCTTACCAGAATCTATATTTAGTCATTTTCATCTAGCATCAAAACTTGATTAGTCATTTCTCAAACCTGCCTCAGTGCAGTAGCTAACCAGGAAAGATGACTGGTGGCCGCTGCTCCCTTTCCTTGAGCAGGGCCACCAGTCATGTTACTACCATCTTGTATTTCAGGCAAAGCAGTGCTGATGTCCTTACACACAGCCTGCAGTGGATAGATCTAGTCTGTGGATAGCCCTGGTCGTTTCTTCATCTTCAAATGCCTGACCATTGTCTTTGATGGTCAGGCTTTGCAATGACTAATTAGCAGTCTGGCACTACTGTGCCTTGCACTCAAAACGGATTCCCAAAGGATTATGGGAAATGTAGTTATGTGAGCTGCATGGGATGTGATGTAGGGGGCTTCACAGAACCCTTCTTATGGGGCTTGGACATAGCTTCAGATGTTGTGACATGACAGACTAGAACAGCATTTTTCTGGCTACTAATTAATTGTTTTGCTGCTTTACTGTACATGTGAAGAGATAGAGAAGAGAACGTTTGTGGAAGAAAAGAGGGTTTGATCATGGAGTTCAGCTTTACTAGTCTTTCGAATTTTCGCATAGATCAATTGGTATACTACAAATTTCTAAATGTTCCTAAATATATGCATGCTGAGAAGAATCATTTAGTTAATGAATTAGAATTGCCTTGGATATAAGGTAGGCATTTGACACATGCTCCTGGCCCTACTTATTTTGGGTATTACACTATTGCCATAACTTCCTAGCTTGGATTAGGTCAATCTACTCTAATCCACAATCAAAACTTGAATACTATGGTTTTGAGAGCCTGCTGTTTCCCATTGGCCACTGTACCAGGCAGGGCTGTCCCCTATCCCCAATTGTAACCATACCAGCCTTGAAACCATATGGGTTGAAATAGCTAGTTAAGACCCACTGTTTCCTGACAATGTTCTCCTGAACTTGACCTTTCATCACATATCCCTACCAAATATTTTGAAGACTTTTGAAGACTGTGCAGCAGTTTCAGAATCGCAGCTGAACAAATTCAAATCCAAAGCCATGGTCATAACTTTTAACTATTCAAACCAAGAAAAACTAACAGTCACCCTGAAGTATTTGGGGATCACCCTTAGCCCCACATATGTCTTGCTATATCAAGCCAACATATCCCCACTATTGAAAGAACCTAATAAACTAATTGACACCTATCAACACTATCTATGTATCAAAATCCTTAGGTCCTTTAGCACAAATTCAGACCCCAACTACCGACCATAATTATCTGGAAGGTTTGTGGTCTCAAATTGACACTTACATTTTACCTGCCAATATTTCCTCCATAGCTCTCTTGCATGTTATACAAGAACTCCCTCTGTAGGCAACTTTAGCCCTAACAGAAGGCCATCCAAACACTATTTTTACATTGTTGTGGCTGCCCCTATCTAAACTCCCATTTAAATCTATGCAAATATTAATGGATTTCCTATCTGTGTGGGATAGCATGAAATATTCTGGAAAGCTCCGCCCACCCCACTTATATTATCTCAATATATATCTATACTTTTATGAGACACTGTGTGGCCAAAAACAAGAAAAAAATATTGAAAATGATATTTGGAGCTTAGAAATACAATATACTACAACTCCTAGGGGGCATATTTATAAAGCGGCAAATATGACATTCACCAAGCATTTACTGCAAGTAAAATAGTTCATCTAAAACACATGCACCAGAAAGATACACTTACAGAGAATGTGTTTTATAAATACACACCTTGTTTTCCATCATTCAATTTTGTTTGACATCTATAAAGAAACAAACACCAAGCAGCTTGTAGTTTACCAAAGCTCTATTGCGGCTCTCCAATGGCTAAGATCGGCACCTTTATCCTACTACTGCTCAAACTTTCTTGCTTGCTTGAGGATAAGCCAAAACAATTCTGCTAGGATATTCAAAGGGAAATGCCCCCCTTATCACTTTGTTGTAGTTTTCAAATCACACAAATATAGCCTCTAAGCAAGCTGCTTTAACTTTTCTGACTCTACATCCATCCTAAAAAAACTGTGTAATAAATATTTATTTGTAAAACAAACATAGTATACATAGAGTAAAGACAAATGTAAAAAAAAATCGATTTAAAAAACTAAATAGTGACAGCATTGAGTTGGTAACACCAAAAACTATGAGCAATGACACAACTTCAACTTCTCTGGTGTTCACCAAAAAAGAACAGATACTTGTCTAGAATAAACCTGTGAGCATACAGGTGAAACTCGAATAATTAGAATATCGTGCAAAAGTAATTGCAGTAATTGCTGCAAAAGGGGCCCAAACCAAGTACTGAGTACATATCCATGCTAGTACTTTTCAGAGATCCGATATTGTTCTATGTACAATCCTTGTTTTATTGATTGCATGTAATAATCTACTTTTTTGAGTTTGTGGATTTGGGGTTTTCATGAGCTGTAAGCCATAATCATCACAATTATGACAAATCACGGCTTGAATTATCTTGCTTTGCATGTAATGAGTCTATCCCATATATTAGTTTCACCTTTTAAGTTGCATTAGTGAAATAAATGAACTTTGCATGATATTCTAATTATTCGAGTTTCACCTGTATATTACATTTTTATTTATCCAATGTTTTAAATAGTGTTGTAGACTGAAAACGGGTAATTCATGCCATTTTGTACACAGCAAACAAAACATAAAAAAAAAGCTAACTAGCACTGTACTGAGAAACAGTGTATCACTACCTAAACATATCTACCAAGTATTTTCATTACACTGTGGATATTTGTAAGGTGCATGTAAAAAAATTAAATTACATATCAACAGTAAAAGCCAAACCTAACCCCTAGTCTCTCTATGATGCAAAGTTATATTCTCTGGTGCACAGAACATTGTAGGAACACAAAACAAAAGTATTCACTGACCCAATCAACTATTTTTAATATCTAATCCTATAGTTATAATAAAAGAAGAATATAGGAAGTAAAATTGAGTTTTAGCTTCTCCGTTAGTTTCATGCTGAAATACAGATTTTAGGTTAATAATAATAACACAGGATAAGCATTATATTTTCTGGTTAGAAACAAACGATATTAGTTGACTTTACTTTAAGAAGTACTTGCTACACATGCACAATATTCCCTCTGAAACATCATTAATATGAGCTGAGGTGATAATGCTTCCACACAATCCCCAGGCATACTCAGTATGGTGATGGTGTACTGCATGTGCGGTAGTGCATTATTTTTGTGGTCGTTACCGCAGATGCGCTGAATCCCGTCGCCATATTGCAAAGTCAGAAATATAGCTTGAGATCTTGCGCGGTAGTAGCAGTACAGACCAGTTGCTACCATGCATGCGTGGGATCCACTATATTGGTGAAAGCATTGTGGAGCACTCTGTTCACTCAGTCCATGCATGCATGTTACTAGATAGGGCCTGTGTGTACCAGCTACCCAAAAAACCTGGGAGGCAGGTAATGGCATGACAGCTGGGTTATGACAGCTGGGGTAGCTACCACTAAAGTTAAAGTGATGCAACCAACATCCCCCCTGCTCTTACCACTGCCAGTACAACACCCCAGCTACAACCAGCACACCTGAATTTCCACACCCTCCAACACTGTGTAACCCCACTCCCAACCGCTTGCCTGCACCCTCATTCACCACTCCATGGTACTTGACCCACACCAACCCCCACACTTGCTTCACCCTCACACTCACCACTGCACTTGCTCACCCACAGCTACTTGTTCTTACATTCCCCCATCCCCAGTCTTACCACCATACTTATACCCACCCATCCCAACTCCACTCTCTTTGCCTCTCAACATCACGCCTGTAATGTCTTCATACTTCTATGCCTGCACACACTACCCTCTGATCTTACCACTGCACCATGGTGCCTTATATCCATTCCTCCCTTGCACTCACCACGGCGCCTTTGCATGTCACCCCTTGCTTTCCACTTTGCATCTGAGCTCCCTGCTTTGCTCTTACTGCTGCACCTGACCCCCATTCCCCCCCCACTATGTCTGAATTCTGATTACCCCATGACCACACCTGCACAATTCCCCACTGTCACTGCCATGCCTGACCACCCATCAACCCACACCTTGCCTGTTTCCGGTTATAAATATAATGGCCAACTTGACATCCGAAATCTAGGCTGATATCTAGTAGTTTACCAAAAAAACACAGAAACTAACTAACATATATAATATTTTAGAATCATACAAGAGTTAGTGAAATGTAGTGGGTAGTCCACCAACAGTTTGGTAAATCCGTAAATGATTTAATGTTAACATATGCAGACAACTAAGGATCCCAATGCCATAACCCCATAGCAAAGCGTATATTCTACATCCGCTGAAACATGGACTATTAGGCAGACCTGGTATAGGTGTGGAAGCAATTGCTATAGGCGTCAGTGGTGGCATATCAGAATTTCTATTCTGTATCAGTATTTTTGCAAATTATAAATTGCCAGCCATGCATCATGCACTGTTAACACTACCGTGCAGCAGCGACGTTTCATGGGAACTACAGACTAGTTAATTCAACAAGCAGAACAAATAAACAAATAAGACAAATCTATGCATTTCAGAACATGAATTGATTTCATGGTGTAAAATCAATGTTGCATTTATTAGCTCAGAGCATTGTGAAGCAAAATCTTTAATAACCCCATATTATATCATTTTAATGATAAATCAAAGCAGATTTAAGCCCACAGTGTTGCTAATCTTTAATCCGTGAAATTGTAGAATAGGAATCATAATTACACTCAGTATTTATTAGTAGCCTTCACAATACACTGAATCTCCAAAATGAACATCCTACAGAATTCTGAATTAGTGAAACAAAAGCAATAAAGCAAAGAAGATGGGACCATGCCTTTTACCAACGCACCTGGAGGCACAACTCCAATACCATCATCAACATCAAAATCTGAGAAGTCACTATCAATGATTCGCTGAGATCCTGTACAACAGCAAACCAGTATAGGTGGTCATTTTTCAAGAAGCAGAAGAGGAATGATGCACATAGCAATTAGCACACACCTGGATTGAAATAGACATTTTCCACTGTTGCACACTTACTTTGTAATTTTTTGCTAGAATTCTCCCCATGTACATGTCTCCTTGGCATGAAAGGTGATGGCTGAGGCAGAGGTAGTGAAGACTCATCGTGTGTTTGCAGTTTATACCAGTGAGGTTCATCGTCTAATAGTGCAGTCTCTAGCTCTATGAGAATCTGAGAGGAAAGTTACACTGTGAGACAAGACTTACACATAAAGAGCAGCTCCAGGCAACAAGTAAACAAGTAATATTAACTGCAAGTGTCAATGGTTTCCAGTAGAGTTAATGCAATGTTAAAGTCAAAAAGCCTAGTCCTTTTGCATATGCGTTTTATATAGTCCTATGAAGCTAAACTCAACAGGCCTCCTGTGCCGATTGAAGGTAGAATTTAAACCTCTGATCACATGATTCCTAGCTGTGCAATCCCCATTGTGGGGTGGTGCAGATGTTTGGAGGCATCTCTAAAGAATCAGGAACCAGGAAAGACACTGGTCTACTTTATCGTATACTAAGACTTATGGCTGTTCTAAAGCAAAGGATATCAACAAACTCTACAGAGTACAGCAGACATGCTATAAATACTACAGTGGAAAATAAAGCTATATATTATTAGGTAGGGTATGCTGTAAGTCATTTTAAAGCAACTTTATCAGGATGAGAATATCTACTTAACAATGGTGACTCTAATCTTCACTCTCTTGCAGAGCTATACTCCTTTTTCCATCTAACCATAGAAAATCTGCAGATAATCTATAGGTGTATGGCCAGCTTTAGTGTTATTGTTAGTATCATTATTCCCTTACTAACCCCAATTTGTTTAATAACGATGCTCCATGGTGGGGATACGTCAATAAACATCAACCCTGTGGGAGCCAGCTGCCGACACTTCAAGTGCTGCTAACTCTCTATACTGGCTCTCAATGGCATTTTACATTTTTGTGCACTTGCCAGCCTATAAAAAACAGAGCAGGGATTTTTATATTAAAGCTTACTAAATAAAAGCACTACATGTCCCTGGAAGGGATTCAAGGAAATCTTTCCTTAGAGAGATATGCTGGTTGCCATTGCTTTAAATAATAGTTTCATTGCTGTCATGTTTCCAATGCTAGGTCCTTTGCCAGAAAACTGGTAAGAATGTCTGACTGACACAGACAAGCATATTTTTTTAAGTCACTGACTCAAACCTTATTCATTCCAGTTGGTCAAGCCAAACAATTAGCATCTTCAAAAGGGGATTGCCAGTGACAGCCCCCGTGTGTCTTTCAGGAAAAGCTTGCTTTCATTTTAACACTTAGGAATAATAGCAGTAAAAAAAATGGCAATAATAATCTAAGGGTACCTGTAAAGATAAAACCTTCAATTAAACAAGGGTACTTGAAATGATGCATGGTATTTTAAACCAGATATTTTACTGACTCTGCAGAAGCAATTTATTACTTTAACACACATAGGAATACAATGCATTGAAACAGGGGTTTTCTTATCTACAGGCAGAGGAGAGAAAAAAACAATCCAGAGATATACCAACTACTAAAGGTGTTCTAATCATATTGCACCCTTCTGTTCTACCAGATAAGTAATACTAATAAAGAAATTTGGATCCAGCAATTTCAGTGATGCTGAAAGAAATACCTCGCCAAGAAATTCACTTTCTTCTTCTTGTACTCTAGGCTGATCCCACACGGTTATTTCTAACATTCTTTCTCTAAAATTTTTACGATGCACATGGGAGTAAACAAATGTTTGGTTCCATTTTGGTTCTGAGCTCCTCTTCACTGTTTTGGTCCTCCGCTTACTTTTATCGCTGTTAAAAGAGAAGGTAGAACAAAGTTATATGCTGTCATCTAGTGGCAGTTCTTATGACTGCAAGCAAGCAATTTTTTACATCATATAGTGAAAAAGGATTCACTTGTTATTATTATTATACAGGATTTATATAGCGCCAACAGTTTGCACAGCGCTTTACAATATAAGGAAGACATTACAATCACAATACAATTCAAGACAATATGGTAAGGAGGGCCCTGCCCGTGACAGTTTACAATCTAAAAGGGAGGGAGGGACAAGTGATACATGAGGAGGTTGAGGATTTACTTGTTCCTTTTCTAAAAGAAACTTGGAAGCTGCCACTGCTGATGTCTCATTCCAATACATTTAAAAGTAAAATGGATTTATGTTGACTTCTTACCTTCTGTCCGGAAGGAAATACATTTTTACATAAGGATTCCTTGGGCGTCCATCTGGCCTGGGTGGAAGGTCTATTGCTTGTAACACAGTGACTATTAGGTGATGTTCTACTTTATCGTACAACAATTTTACCTGAAAGACAATCATAATAATATCAGATTGGCAGATACTATTATTAAAAAATATAGCAGTTAAACAGCAGCACATACAGGATTTTTCTGATACAAACTGTTTTGTCAAGCATAGAAAAACCTTGTTCTGTGTATTTTTCACTGTGATCAGTTCTTCTGCTACTACATCTGTGTGGAATTTAGGTGAAGTTGCAACCTTTCAGGCTTGTGGCTTAATAGCACTTTAAAGATTTTTTTCTTATATTGTGTTACTAGCAGAATACTGAGAAATGCATACTGCATATTGGTTGTTTATGCTAGCAAGAAAGTATAAAAATATATTTTTCTAAAATATATTATTAAACTGATTTACAGCAGAGCAGCTATTGCGGGCTGTATACATATGGACAAAAATGTTTGATGCAACGACAGATTAGATTAAATGTCTGTCTGTTAGAAAATGACTGCACTAAATGGGCAGTTTGATCAATAAGATTTTTTTCATTTAAAAGGAAGAAGCAGAAATTCCAGCTGAATTCAAGAAAACGATCTTTTAAAACAAATTGATGTGAATGATTTTTTTAATATCTTTATGTGACAGCAGGAGAGTTTGCCTGAATAAGCTGAGAGGACAAGCAGCCTCTCAGCCTTTTCTTAAAGTGCACCTGTGCCCTGGTTAAGAATGTTAAAATATCAATATGCACTTAAAGAAAGGAGCCCTCACTATACCCAATAACAGAAGCCCATACTGACCTCTTTAGCTGCAAGTCCTGTGGATAAATTCATCCTTAGGTCCTATTCTCATCACTGTATATTGTGGTAATTAACCTGCCTCTGTTTTCAAATGGATCATTTTTATGAGACAGGGGAAAGGCAGATGGCGGGGAAAGCCCTGAAGTACATTTGGTATCAATGTGAAAATAGTTTCAGAGCGGTAAACAGGAGATCATTTTCTGACTAATGAGGGTAATTATAAGCATCCTGTGGTGTCTGCAGTATTTTTAAATGTTTAAAAAGCTTGGCTGGCTTTACTTTAAAGTGTATCTATGGTCAAAAACTAAAATAAATATGTATTTCTATATTGCATCTCCATAAGTTCTATCCCACTCCTAATCGCCATATTGATCTAGAAGTTTGTAAACTTACCTATAGGATGCTGACACAATTTCACTCAGCCCTGTGAAAATGCACTTGACGGAGCCCGCTCTCAGAACTACAACTCAACATCTGATCAATGTAATATTATCATTGCTTGCTGGAAGCAATGCATGATTGGATATGTAGTCTTGAGAAATTAAGATTGCATCCCATAAAGCAGCAGGGAAAAAGAATCCATGAAGTTGGTGAAAGTGATGGGCAGACGGAAGGCAGAACTCACTACATAAAAGGGATTTTTTTCAAGTGAGCTTTGATTGCATTATGAAAAACAGTATCTAATCCTATTACAATGCTGATGTTATAACATGATAGTATATGTGACTTTAGAACTCCTTTGGGACAACTGATAAATGAGACCATGGAGCAGAGTCCTCCTCTCATAACTGACCTCTCAGGTGACAGCTTCGAGGAAAGAAATTTGGTAAATTAATGTAGAATTTCTCCATAGTGTTTGCAGCTACAGAGGTCTGGCATAGCTTGTTTTAAAACTATTTTACTGCATGCTAGGAATACATCAATACATGTCCATAGTCTAGACTCGGGTACATTGGAGAGATAGTAACTAGGGCTGCTTGTCCTCTCTTTACCAAACTTTTTTAGTTTGATAAATGGAGTCCAGAAAGACTCTATACTTCATGTGCAAAACTTACAAACCACGGCCTGACCTATCCGACCTATCTTTTTTACATTTCTCTTGTGCTGGTTAAACAGTGAAAAGCAAAACTGAGAAAAAAAACTATTAATCAACTGGATATTACAGAAAAGGAAATAACAAAAAGATTGTTACTTTCTAATGGACATATCCCACAAGAGGTAAGAAATTGTTAATTTCTAATGGACATCTCCCCCAAGAGGTAAGAAAATGTCCATGTAGTGATGACTTTAAAGCCTTTGTTTTAATGTATTTTTATGCTAAAGGATACAAGCTTTTTTAACCTTTAGAGCAAACATTTCCAAAGTCCGAGAAGGTTTTAAGATCCATTAAGAAAAAAGCTATTAGCTATGTGAATGACACATAATGTGCACACACTATGAAATGCACTTTACCCTAAAGGCGACAGCTTCTAATGCAGTTTTCTTTATAGAACTAATGAAAAGCATTTTGAAATGAAAATAGATTACGTAGGGGCAAAAAAGGGAACATTTTATCTTCATGATTTTATTATACGTATGTTTCTTTGAGATGTATAATAGCATAGTTCATGTTCATGCTTGCACTGGACAAAACATACTTGGATCTCATACAACAAAATCCATGGTGCAAAGTAACGGCAGGGTCTAAGTATACATGTTAATACATCTATACACAAATATATGTTTTTACTGAAGGTTTATACCAGATTCACACATTTTTAAATTGAAAATACATGTATGCACGAATATACTGTATGTTTTCACTGAAGCTGCATACCAGATTCACATATTTTAAAATTGGATTCAATTGGACAAATGTGTAATTTGAATAAAAGTTGTGGGAATCTTTGGGTGAAACATGCTTTTATCTTGCCAGTTTGCTATACCTCTACAGTGCATAATAAATTCATGAATGTGCTCAACATTTTTAATGTGTTCACTACAAAAAAGCCCAGAAAAGGATTTGATTATGTACCGGAGCCAGATTAGTAAAAATACATTTCTGAATGCATGTTGTAGATTGTTGCACTTTACTCTCTGTGTGAGGGTTATTTTACAAAAGGCAAATAGGCTGTTCACTTTGCAAGATAATTTCCTCTTAACTTAGTGAATGTGGTGAAAATTCACTTTGCAAAGAATACCCAATCTTGTGCAAGGGAAATATAAACACAGTATTTTTGATTGTACATGATTGGATGATGGAAGTCAGAAGAGCTCCACCTCACTCACTAAACTAAGGGAAAAATTCCCGTGCAAAGTGAACAAACTATTTGCTTTTAGAAAGTCTGTGGGCTGTGAGTGGGCCCTATTTTCCCTATTTTCAGAACTCAAAACATATTGACCTTGCATGTAGCATGCAGCCACTTTTTAGATTTTAATTTTGCTTACTATAACAACGTGTTGGCTTGCCATGGTCAACTTGAATCTATTAAAACAATAAAACAAGAGTAGCAGAAGAATTGAAGGAGAAAAAAGGAAAGTCAGGGCAGGGGGAGCATTCCACTATATAACACATAAAAAAATGTGGGGTGATCACTCACTCAATAGATCTTTGATACATACTTCTATAGGGTAAAATATTAGCACTCAGCTCCTCCACAAAGACAGGGAGTTTCATCAAAGAGAAATTGAGTGTAAACAAGCCTGTGAGGCTTATGTGTACACAGAGTAATATCAGATTTGGAGAACTGGTTATCTAGATCCAAAAGTTGGTTGAACTATGGTGCTATATTTCCAGCAAAGCTCAAAGAGTATGTTAAGGCAGATATGGGAAAGGGTTAGGTTATAACCATTGGCAAGTTTTTTTATTGCTGTATGTGTCCTGTTGGGGGGAATTAACCCTCTATTTGTCCTAATGATCATTGTCGCTTAGGCAGAAAGAGCGGAAATCTATGATTGCTAAAGCTGAACTCCGGGGGGGTTTACAAAAAAACACTTTAATCAGTATGCATTTATTAAAAGGTATTCTCTAACCCCCTACAATGGGGCACTCAAGCTGCCACAATTAGAGCTAGCATGGGAACTTGAATCAAAAATGGGCTGAACATAATAACAAGTTCTAAGGTGTGTAAAACAATTCCCATATGTGTGTTTTTAACTGTGTATTTAGCTGTTTGCCTAGAGATCAGCTTTAATGAACCTTTTCTAGGATACATGCCACATGAACTTTGCCAGATATACAGATAGATACTTACAGACAGCTGCCCTGGCAAGACCTGAGGTGCATCTTTAAGTGCTCCGGGGCTGGTTGGAGATATAACAGATATTGAAGGCCTGTCCATCTTCTGAGATTCAAAAGAACTTGAACCTTACACATATGGAAACACAGATTACATTAAATGATCTGCATTAGTAAAATAGATATAATTTATGATAGTGGGCAGTTATTAGATATAAATTAAAGATGCATTTATTTTCCTATTTTCCTCTCTGCAACCCTAAAATTAAAATATCTGAAACAATCAGAAGCAACATCAGGTTACCCAGCAGGCAGTGCTGCACATCATTTCTGACATGACAGCTACCAGTAATTGTATAACTAGAGAATGTTTGTGAGGTGTAGCCCCTATTATCTTGCTGCATATAGGAGTTTACATCTGACAGAATTTAATGGCAAAAATAATTAGTTTCAAGTTTTTCTAAGGCCACATGCAAACAAATAAAATGAGAAAGAAAGAGCACCTACTTGATTCTAATGGCGGATGAGAGCTTTCTGGGATCCTTGGAATGTCACTGAAGTGAACAGGAAAAAAAAAACAATCACACTGAGGTATTTAATAATGGAAAATAACATATAAAAAAAGACAGTAGTGTTGCTCAGCTGTTTCAGGTAATCAAATATTGAGCTAAATATTATTGCTGCAGGACTTTGAACAGAGTTGATCATTTCCCCCAGAAAAATAAAAAGATCGAAACTGATCGAGGCGCTAAGAGGTTTCACAATATAGAGTATGTATTGTCATAAGCTACAAACATTACAAACAAGAAATTGACTGTTTGCTATGAGCAGCACATGCAATTCTTTCAACATGATACCAATTGTCTTTGTTTATCATTTAGAAGAGCTTATAAAAGTCATATGTAATATCCATCTATAAACTAACATTTTAAATGATATTAAATAAAATGCTTGTCCTCTGATCCAGTCTTAACAGACATTCCATAAAGCAACATCAAGAACCGTCATGAAAAATTAATCGCAGTAGCCCATTTCATCCAATGAAAAATCCTCTTTTAATTGATATGACTTTAATACAATTAAATCAGGTCTTCAGGGGTTACTGTACTTTGCATTTCATCATTCGACTTACTACAGTTATATATATGCATTATGTTTACAACGTTCAAACAAACAGAACATACATTTGAGTTAATTTTCTCAATTTGTGTTCGACTGTCTATGGAAAGCATATTTTGTAATAGGTATAGTAGAGTGTTTCTCTTAAATTATTTTAAACGTGCTAGCTTTACCCAATACATCCATAAAATACAAGTAATGGAGATAAAAAAGACAGAAGAAAGGAGTAAAAAAGGGAAGGGAAGAATCATGGATCATGCAGTACAGTACATCTAGATAAATGATATGGATGGCGTGCTCTGCATGAGAGAAGTTGGTGTCAAGGTCTATTAGCTTAAGGTTGCTCAATAAACTACAGAGCAGTACTTTCTGCTGGAAGGTTAAATACACAAATCCAGTTTACAAATTGCTGTAATAACCAGAGCTTCATGAACAATATAGGCCCAACGTGAAACTAAACTTGTCATTGTCTGCGGTATGGTCAGAAATAAGCATTACATGGCTAAAAACCATGTACCGAGAGAAACCCTTTGACTATAAAAAAAAAAAGGATACCAAATCCAGAGCAATTACTAATCAAGACATTATTTAAACTAAGTGCTAATTGCAAATGCCCATCCATCTTTAAAACAGGACTATTGTCACTGGACTGAAAATGTCAGGATATGACTGTTACCAATAACAGGCTACTACTGATTTTGGTAGTAATCAGTGGATGTGACATTCTGAAACATGTTTGACCATATGCAGATAAGAATGTTGGTCAGCCTTACATGGCCATTTAAGTGCACCTAGTGTATACTTTAAAATTCTCCAAAATCTAAGGGAAACATGTATAGCAGGCACCTGCATGTAAAATGTGCTTGCATGCATATTTATTTATGTACTCTGTAAAAATATCTGCGAGTTCTAATATGAAAATTTAGTTCCTGAACCTGAACATTTCCACAGCACCTTCCACATCACTATATTGGTCAGTGAGGCTGCCTATTATAGTGACTGACCAAAAATGAGGTGCAGGTGGGGGGAAGGACCTGATGTCTCATTATTTCATATTATACCTACCCAGGTTTCAGGCTCTTGGAAAGCTCAACGAGATTTGGAAATACGCATGTGCCTGTTTTATACTGTATTGTGCAAACGTTTTAGGCAGGTGTGAAAAAGTGCTGTAAAGTAAGAAAGCTTTCAAAGATATATATTTGTATTGTTTATTTTGATCAATTTACAAAATGCAAAGTGACTGAACAGAAGAAAAATCTAAAATCAAATCAATATTTGGTTCTTTAGCTTCAAACCAGCATCAATTCTTAAGGTGCCCATACACTGCTCGATTCTCGTACGAGAATCGCGGGAAATCCCGCGATCGTACGAGAATCGAACAGTGTGAACGAAGACGTGCAACCGTTTCTACTGTACGGTCGCACGTCTTTTGTCTAAGGAGCATGTTAGAAAACCAGCCGAGAATCGTACGATTTTCGGCTGGTTTGAACGGTGCTCGGGAGACAAATGCCGAACGGGCCGGTGTGCGCATGCGCACACTGCCCGTTCAGCATTGCGGTCATCGGAAGCCCGCCCCTCAGGGGGGCGGGCTTGCGATGATCGAGAGTGCGATCTGCCTGTCCAAGATGGGCAGATCGTACATTTTTTTAATCACTTTACAACCATCGCAAGACTAAGGTCTTGCGATGGTTGTACAGTGTATGGCCACCTTTACACTTGCACAAAGTCAGGGATTTTTTTAGGATTAGAGTCAGGTGTATGATTAACCAATTATATGTAAATTGAAACACAGTCATTAACTGAAACAGAAACAGGTGTTTTGGATGCTTAAAACTGGGTGAGGAACAGCCAAACTATGCTACTAAGGTGAGGTTGTGCAAGACTGAGCACAGCAACAAGACACAAGGTAGTTATACTGCATCAGCAAGGTCTTTCCAAGGCAAAGGTTTCAAGATGAGCTGTTCAAGCTTTATTGATGAAGCACAAAGAAACAGGCAACGTTGAGGACCAAAGACGCAGTGGTCGGCCAAGGAAACATAATGCAGCAGATGATAGACACATCATGCTTACTTCCTTCAACATCAGAAGATATGCTGCAGTGCCATCAGAACCAGTGGGACCCAGGTACACCCATCTACTGCCTGGAGAAGTCTGGCCAGAAGTGGTTTCCTTGGAAGAATTATGGCCAAAAAGCCATACCTCTGACGTGGAAATAAAGCTAAGTGACTCAACTATGCACGAAAACATAGCAACTGGGGTGCAGAAAAATGGCAGCAGGGGCTCTGGACTGATGAGTCAAAGTTTTAAATATTTGGCACTAGCAGGAGGCAGTTTGCTCAAAAAAGGGCTGGAGGGTGGGACAATAATAAGTGTCTACAGACAACAGTGAAGCATGATAGAAGTTCCTTGCAAGTCTGGGGATGGATTTTTGCCAATGGAGTTGGAGATTCGGTCAGGATCAATGGTGTCCTCAATGCTGAGAAATGCAAGCAGATACTTATCCATCATGCCATACCATCAGGGAGGCGTGTGATTGGCCCCAAACCTATTTCGCAACAAGACAACGACCCCAAACATACAGCCAATGTCATTAGTAACTATCTTCAGCGTAAAGAACAACAAGGAGTCCTGGAAGTGATGGTTTGGCCCCACAGAGTGCTAAATTCAACATCATTGAGTCAGTCTGGGAATACATGAAGAGGCAGAAGGAATTTAGGCAGCCTACATCCACAGACAGTCTGTGGTTAGTTTTTTAAAGATGTTTGGAACAACCTATCTACAGAGTTCCTTCACAAACTGTGTGCAAGTGCACCTAGAAGAATTAATGATGTTTTGAAGTCAAAGCACTTTTATTTCTGAAAGCATTCTTACTTTTCAGCATTTTTTTTCACACTTGCCTAAAACTTTTGCACAGTACTGCATGTGTGCCTAAGGCTTAGAACCTTTAAAGTAAACGCAGGTACTTAGTCAAATTTGAATATTGGCTTATATTAGAGATATGTAAAGTCCACAGTTTTCAATAAATGGTTTCATATGGGCATTACAATATCTCATACTGTCAGATCCTGATGCAAGGACAATAGGAATTTGTGTAGTACTTGCAGGCTGATAAGGTAAGAATCCAGTTTTAGAGATAATATTTGTTTTAAGGTTACTTTGTATTAGCTATAGTACTACTATTTGAACAAAGTGGTAAGGGATTTAAATTTAAACTTATTCACACTGGAAGTGAGGAGAATAAGAGGGGACATGATTTTGTTGTACAAAATGTTTAGTGGTGATGGCAACATCGGCACTAAACTTTTTACTGTAAACTCCGTAACAAGGACTAGAGGTCACCAACTAAAATTGGTGGAGAAAAGATTTAACCACAAAGGGCATAGGGGCTTCTTTTCAGTTAGAGCGTTTACATGGGTACAGATGCACTTAAATACTAGACCACACAGGGACTGTTATACACACACAAGAGACACACACGCAAAGGTTGAACTTGATGGACCTGTGTCTTTTTTTCAACCTCAAATACTATGTAAGTTTATGGATAATTTAGTGTTATTTTAAGGGTTAAAACAAGATAGAAAATTATGTTAAATGTTAGGGTCAGGTTAAATGTTAAAGGTTAAATTTCATGAGCAGGCCCGGGGTTAAGTTTAAGTGTTGGAAATGGGGAGATTAGCGGACAATCTTCCAATTTGGGGATTTGGTTTGAATGTTAGGGTGCCAGTCAATAATCATTAGTGTAATTTCAAAGGTTTGCAATGGTTCATGTTGGCACGGCTGGAAACCTTTATCATGTTTCTTATGATTTAAGATAAAACACCTAATCAAAAAAGTAACCAGACATTTAAACTATATGCATGCTCTTACCCAATGGGGCGGGACACAATGATCTCTACTTGTGGTTCAGATTTTGATTGTAAAATTATATTGTAAACATCTTCATTTGTTGCACCTGGTAAAGACTTCCCGTTCCATTCTAAAACTTCATCACCTTACATAAATGGCAAAAAATAATTAAAATATATCTGCCTGGCATAAATAGTAAAACATCTGCAACATAAAATGTTCTAAATCCTACATTTCTAAGCTAAAATGACAACAGCATTTTTATGGTAACATTTTTTTAAATGTGCGCTATTTTCTTAACTTGCTACGCTGAGAAAACTGCAATACTGAACACAGGTATTCTAGATTAGTAAATCGGTTTTAAAAACAAACTTAAAACCTATATGCCAACCAGCATTAGTCCAACCAGCAAGTCATGAATCGTGATTACTTGGGTTCCTGAATTATGTAATTCTATAAGCAGATCAGACAAATGTACATGCAAATATTCCTTCATGACATATGTAGACCAGTCTACTTTACTCCAGATACACATTACAACCAATATCTGGTAATTGTGCATTTTATTGACAATTATTATTTATGACAAGGCCAACAGCATGCTTTATGTTTGAAAATTGATGGATGATATCTGGGGCTTACTTGCCTTTTGTAGCCATTCAAAATGTTGGCTTTTCTTGTTCCTTTTTAATCATAGAATAAATATTTCCTAGTGCACGTGTATGATGTAAGCAAATATCTTACTGTTTGCTATGGTCAACAAAAACATTTTTGTTCCCTTCTGATGTTATACACAAGGGCAACAGCTATAAAAATCTCTTGTTACCAGTTTGTTTGTAAAATCCATCTATATTTGCTTTTGGCTGACTGAAAGACCAGTTCGTTTTGACTGGAGTGCGTAGAAAAATGTTTGGGTATTATTTGTAGTTTGTGACATGATCTCTCGTTTTGGCAAATCTACTCCCAAATGTTCAGACTCTGCCAATTCCCCTGTGGTACCCCTAGTAGCATTTTAGCTTTGTGGTTAGCAGTGGTGTCTTCCAGAGCAACACCCCTATTCACTTTATGTTCTTCAAATGAGGCAATCTACCAACATACTAAAACATACCACATGTAATGTTGGGGAGCTCACAGAGCACTCACACAGGCTTTTCCTTTAACCAAAAGTCTTTATTATTCTTCCGTAACATAAAAGAGCTTTAATTCAGCAACATACAGTCCGCTTGTGTCTCAGAAAGTACAGTCTTTAGCACACCTGTGTCATACTCACTGCAATCACCCCTCGTGAGCACTCACACTGCTCTCTTAGCAGTGTGTCCACCAGGTCTCTTGGGTCACCAACCTTCCCCAGACTCCCCTGGCTGTTCCACATGCGTCCAGCATACACAGCGAGTCTGCTTGTGGTCGTGTGCCTCCTGCACACCCACACACTACTGGCTTAGCTCGACCCTCGCGTTCCTCCAGCACACACCCCGAACTCCTCCTCTGAGCTCTGGTCTGAGCTCTTAATGAGGCTGCTCTCAGCCACCTGATCACCTTGCAACACCTGACCTCAGGACTGGAGATTTCATCCCACCCAGAACACTAAGAAATCTCCAGATATCCAGATCCCAGCTACAATCCGGAAAAACTGGAGGAAACTGAAAGGCCAGTTTCTTCCCTGCAGAACTATTTGCATTCTGGAACCTCTCAGCCCCTCTGGCTGAGAGTCCTGGGTGACCGTGTTGCCAAACTACACTGTGGCATTGTCACACACAGAAGAAATGCCTTCCTGCCAGAAGTGCTGCAGTCTGTGTGAGTCTTTGTAGGGGAATTGACCTCATTGTACCAAAGGAATGAATTACCTCTGGCAGGCTGTAAAAACCAAAAGCAACCAGAGTTTTCTTTTATGGGAAAATAAAAAGGGAAACTGTCATTGCCTTCTCCAGGACAACAAAGACTGCACGAGAAAGTACAGATCATAAATTAAGCCCACTGTAGGGTCATTGAATTGTAACTCTGTTAGGGTTTGGATTGGAAGGAATGGTGCAAATATTTATTTAAAGTACTGTGAAATATGCTGACTAAATGTAAATGAATGCATTAGATTAGATTTAGAATGAATGATCAGTAATCTCTAGCAAGCTTAGTAGAATACTAATTTCCCTGAAACACGCACATCAAAATCATACAATTAAATGTACTTATGTCATTGCTATTACCATTCAATCTCAGGCTGGAGTTTGAGCGCATCAGGATAAAAAAAAAAACATCTCCAGGAGTAATGGCTGAATTCCTGTGCAACTTAGTGAGTACACCAAGCATATGCAGGAATAATTGTTAAGCGCTGATTAATTAATCTGCCCTTAGCTGTGGTTTTAATCCTTTATATGCCCTTAATATATTAGGATTGTCTGGATACTGAATGTTGTTCTCCCCGATGACTCACTGTGATCTTATTGCTTATTGAGTGAGGGAACTATTTATCAGATTGTTGAAATCAAAAAGCCTTTTATACATGGCATTTTCTAAAACAGAATACAATCTAGAAAATAATCAAATCCAGGTTTCAGTCAAAACGCTGAGGCAGCAAACGAATAATTCCTCTTTAGCAATACTAACTGCATAGCCAGCACCTAGCAAGACTAATTTGTTGGCTATGGATATTTATCGTGGTGTACCATGGAACATACAAATTGATGTCTCCTGGGAACATCTTTTATTGCACAATCATTTGTAATTTCTAACGTATACAGGAGAGGAAAGAATGTTATTACAGCATGGCTATACCAGCTAACTCCTGCAACCGCTGTAGAACTAGTTGGTATTTGTTGGACATACAAATTTTAATATGTGAAGATAAGGCATTATTAGAAATCAGCTAAGCTAATCCACAAATCTCATTGTACAACACTTTTCCCAGGGTATCATAGCGGCTTATATTGTATATCTCACCACTGCTGAACAAGTAATACACAGTTGGCTAGTATGTAAGTCATTATTCTTATAATATATCAACACCGGCTGCTTATTTTGGAAGGTGTGCAAAGGTTTATGCACCATTTGTGGTAAACTTTTGACTGCCTTTTTATAAAGTGACAAGTCTAATTTCAAGAATTTTATTAATTCATAAAGCTGTCAACATTTGCTGCTAATTTTCACCATATTGTGATAACACAGTTTAGAAAACAGCAGAATATATTTTAAAGAAACATTTTGCCAATTTATAAAAAAACAGAATGCAACTCCTTCTGCTGTTTAGCAGAAATAGCTTTTGCTCTATTTTTCAATATAGCAACTCTCTTTATAGAGCACATCTCTAAAGTCAGTAAAAAAAAAAAATGTACTGTGTAGATATGTTGATGTAAGAAAAGGCCAAAATGTAGTTCTTATTTTAGTGCTAATGAACCTAAAGGAGTGTGTTGGAAAAAATGCTATTTTCATAATACTGTAGTAATAGCATTGATATGAAATACAGCTCTAAAGATAACGGGCATCTGGCATTGTTGAAACTACCAAGAAAAGATTTGTCTATTTCACATTGATACATTGAATTCCATTGCTAGTACTGGGTGTCCATGGGAAGGTATAGAGAGTTCACAATGAATTTTAACACCCACAAATTCAACAGATATGAAGTCTTCTTGAAATACCTGCTCTTAAATGACCTACAACATCCGCAAGGCTTCCCTTCTTGACTTTGGTGATGAAGGCACCAAGGCGTCCGGCGTCAGTCATTTTACCTCCAACAACCTGAGTATATAATTTATACACACAATTAGAAAAGCATGGAGAAAAAGAACAACTAAAAGAGAGAATAAAAACACACATATACAAAAATGTATATCTAGTACCCTAGTAAACAGTGGTATAAGAGATTTATTAAAAGAGAATACACAAACCTTACACCTTTACACTAAATTTCTACAAGAATAGTAAATGGTGTTAAATAAAAATTATATCTCCCATAGATTTAGGGAGGCAATAGGATTGCATGCAATTTTAACTTGCTAGCAACAATGACAGTTACAGATGTTTGCTGAATTCCAAACTTCAAAGCTAGAGCACGATAGATTTTTTTTTAATGATTTGATATATACAGTATACTGCAAGGCACTCTAGCTGAATTGTTGCAAATATTATATTTTTATTACAACTTAAGAAATACTTGTATACAAAAAAGACAAAGAGATAAGTAGTCCTATGGTGCCCTGCAATTTTCTGATATTTCTAACAAATTTGTCAAGCCCTGATTTACACCATGCTTGATCTGGGACTTTGACTGAAACATCTGGCTGAAGTCAGACATGGCCAGGCATCTAGCAGTTTTAGAAAGAGGCCTGCAATGGCAGTGACCATACTTTCATGACAGAGTCACTTTAAGGATAACTACATTTTCACTCACTCTGTAAGACAATTGCTGTTTTACACCCACTTACTTTCTTATACTAATAAATCATCATCAGCATTTCTATCTCCCGTCCCCTGAGGCCGCATGCAGGATCACAAGCAGCAAAGACAGCAAAAAAATGCTGAATGCGGGAATTCTCTTCTCCCTCCCATGTGACCAGCCTCAGCACTGTACATATGTGCCTACTATTTGTATTACAATCACTGAAACACTGACAAGGGAAGCCTACAAAAAGCCTGGGACATGCAGACCTGTAGTCCTATCAGACTGCTTCAGCGGTGCAGGCATGACCAGGGTCAAGTATTTAGAATACTGGTGAGAGGGCAGAGGGCAGTGTAATGGAGAACAAATACATCCACTGAGTTTTAGGATTTGTGCCTGCTGAAGTATAGGATTGCCCTATGTCTGTACTCAGAGATGGCACACTGTCTACATGCGGATCACCTAGTGGGTTGTTAAGCCCTATGTTCCAAGATCTGCATTCCTGCTATAGGAATTATGTAAAGGGCAATAACCCATAGAAGCCATTCAGATTTCACCTTAATCCGCTTGGGGCAGCTGTGACAATGAAAAAATTCATTATGACTGGCTGCCCTAGTTTACAGCTCTTTGTATTATTCAATCTTGTGAGCCTGTTAATGAGTTCTGCTAGTGACCCACATGATTTTTACTATACAGAACATTCTTATATAAAAGCTTTTTTAGTATATTGTCTTTTCCCTTTGTGTATGTAGTGAACTGCTCTACTTGAAATATTATGTTTACAGGGAACAATGCATTAATACTTCATTATTACAAAATGTACTGGTTGTAGGAAATGACTCGTAACTAACATTACTGATGTCACACATCACAAAGTTATTAAAAATAAGTGGGATATCATAAAATAAATATCACATAGAATTACCCTCAGTGACATTGTTTGAAAACAGAGGGATTAAACAAGGTACCTAAAAAACAAATTATTAGACAGTCTTCTCTCTAATGCTTATGGCTCGGTGCCCTAAATGGCTGCGTTTCATACCATTCACTCTGTGTAAATGGTGCATTCATGGTAACTAAAAGAATTTAACTTCCATACACTATCTGCAACCAACATAATTTAATTAAACATTTAGTTAAATAACAACCTTTCTGTAAGAGAAACTGGCTTTTATGGTGCCCCAATGTTTATAGAAGCACTCATTCTGGTGCACAAATCACGGAACAAAATAAGTCATGTCATAAACTACCACTCTTAAGGGATGCACTGATACCATTTTTTCAGACCGATTATGAGTACTGGTCACTGATACCAAAACCAATACCTTTTTTTTAGTTTTGTGACAGTTTTTCTAAAACAATACAGGCTAATGATTTTAGGACAGTGGTGGAGCACAGGGCCCGGTCACAGCTGCAACTGGTAGTTCAGCCACTGACTCCAAGCTGTAGAGGGATTACAAATCTTAGCAATGCATTATATAGCAATGCAGAATACCACCAGCTATAGAGGACCACAAATCCCAGTAATACATTATAGCTAGTGGTATTCTGCATTGTTGTATAATGTATTACTGGGATGTGTAGTCCTCTATAGCTAGTGGTATTCTGCCTTGCTGTATAGAGGACTACAAATCCCACTAATACATTATACATTAATGCAGACTACCACCAGCTATAGAGGACCACAACAATGCAGAATGCACTGGCTATAGAGGACTAGAAATCCCAGCAATACATTATACAGCAATGCACAATACCACCAGCTACAAACGACTAGAAATCCCAGCAATACATTATACAGCAATGCAGAATAATACCATCAGCTATAGAGGACTACAAATCCCAGCAATACATTATACGGCAATGCAGAAAATTACCATAAGCTATAGAGGCCCACATATCCCAGCAATACATTATACAGCAATGCAGAATAATTACATCAGTTATACATGTAAAGCGCTGTATTGGTTTTTGGCATCGGGGTATATTTTAATGAGTACTTGTGAAAATGCCCAATATCGGCACCTATAACAATACTGGTATCGATGATTCCCTAAAATATATATTTATATATATACTGCCTGGCCAAACAAAAGTCACACACTATTATATTTAATTGCACCGCCTTTAGATTTGATTATGGAAAGCATTTGCCATGGCATCCTTTCATTAAACTTAGGCAATGTCACAACATTTATTTCCGTCCAGAATTGCATTAATTTTTCCCCAAGATCTTGTAGTGATGAAGGGAGAGTCGGACCACTGTGTAAAGCCACTGTCAATAAGAGCTGGAATGGGGTGGAAGTCAGGTAGAAAGTGGAAAAGAATGATGCATGGATAGAAATACACACAAGACAGCTCCAGGAAGAGGAGCATTAGAAAGAAGAAAATGTATTTCCAGTCCAGGAGATAGTAGCTCGCTGTGGATTCCAGCTAGGATTGGGAGAGTGAGGGGGTATGTGGTATGCAGGGGGTTATATGAAAGCTGTGTCTGTAAGTCTGGGGGTGCAGGTACTGGAAAGTAACTGTTGGTACAGAGAGCAGTGTATAACTGAAAATCTGAGGGTGCAGGTTATGGGGGGCTTCTGCTGGTACAGTGGTGGGTATATGAGAGGAATTGAAAGGGTTCAGGATATGGTGCAGTGACTGGTGTATATCTGCATTGTTGGTAAGTAACATGTATGTCTGTTACATTTTAAAATAGGGTACCTCAAGATTTTCTATACTTTTAAAGTGTGCCGTGGCTGAAATAAGTTTGAGAAAAACTGTTCTAGTGGATACTCCATGCATTGTTTAGTAAAACAAAATTCAAGGTTATTTAACCAGCATAATTCCCACTCCCACACTGCAGACTCAGACTACTAACGTTTTCTTCTTTCTGACTTTATCAGCAAAAATATAAAAACAAATAGTGTATTCATGCTTCATCCAAGAGCTTATCTATATGACCCAGGACCACCTAAAAGTTGAAGAAGACCAAAAGAGGAAGAGGATCCAGTCATCACATGACCGGTCAGAGGTGATGAGAAAAAGGTAAGTGAAAAAAAGCATAAACTACCACCGGGGGCCTCAAGAAGGGAAAAGGACCACGGAGGGTGGGGGAAGCACAGAGCCTGGAGTGGGGCTTTAAACAAACATTATCTTGTTTTCTAAATTTTGTTAAAGCTGTATACTTAATTTCATCCAGCTTTGCCCAATGTAAGTATACATATTTTTTACCTGGTAGGCGATGGGGATCCTGTAAAACACTGTAGTAGCCACTGCAATAAATAATAGGCATTCTCTGGTTGGACAAGGGGCGGTAACGTCCCTTCACCACCCTTCGTCCAATCAGAGACCGCCTATTATTCATTGATAAATAATTCATTGATAAATATACTAGGTGTTCTTTTTGATTGTCACGGTGGCAAGCGAGCGACCCTCTATGTTTCGCAGCAGAGGCGAAGTCGCTCAGCACAGCGGCAGTACAGGACCCAGGAGATATCTGTAAGGCACTGTAGCAGTTCCGGTTACTACAGTGCTTACAGGATCCTGGTACACTACCAGGAATGAGATATGTATACTTACATTGAGCCACGCTGGACCAATTTAAATATACATAAATATTTATACCTTCAGTTTAGCTTTACATAGTATACCTTCCCTTTAACTAAAGATAAAGCATCCCTTATGTTTGTCTAATGCCTCTCAGATGTGTATAGCTATTATTAGGGATGCACCGATACCGATACAATCATCGGTATCGGCGGCGATACCGAGTATTTGCATGAGTACTCGTACTCGTGCAAATACTCCAATACATAAAACGAGTACCTGTGCCGCGTCAGTGTTGGCGCTCTGAGCCATGGCAGTTGTTGTTAAAGTGTTTAAAGACTGGACTGTCAGCTGAAAATCTGGGTTTGAATGTGCGAATTGTGGCCGTGAGCGACTAGTCAATGTTAGGGCAGAACGGAGAGTGGCAAGACTGGTACAAGACAACAGAAGGGCAACAGTGCAGTGTCAGATTCCTCGCATCACCTTTCAACATCTCATGGAGTCACGAGGCGGCCCAACGAAGTACTGATGGGGTGGTCACAATAATCTGGCCACTCAGTGTAAACAAAACAGTGGCAAGGGCATACATACAAAACATTTGGAGTGGAATGAAGTGGATGGCATGTATGACATTTATATTGTTCTGAATTTGAAAATAAAATTAAATTTTTTTTTTATATATATATCCTGCACCTCAGAAGTAATCTTATTAAAACTACAGGAACTTTAAAAGTGTTGTGCTTACTTTCAGTCCCAGCAGTGCTCCCGATTCCTTCGGCATACTTGTTCTCTTATTTAGAATAACACGTCCAATTAAACGATCACCCTCCTTCGAAGGCTGCCAGGTTACAGGATGCTGAATAAGAAGATTAAAGACAAACACAGGATGTACTTGGTTTTCTTTTCTTTGTTTCAACAACCAATTCAATTAGTATTTTATCTCATAGTGACACATCATGCTGAGCCGGATGCTTCAGAAAGCCTGGGCCCACTGATTATGCATGGCAAACTAATTTAGACAAAGTCTAAAGAACCTATGTGTTCTAATGGAAAATATACATTTATCAGCCTCCTACAATAAAACTGACATTGCATTATGGTCACATTTTATACCACATTATTATAAATCACAATATGTTTGCATACGATATTAAATCTACCATATTTTAATGCAGTATAGGCATTAAACATGTTTTTCCTTGAAATATATTGTTGTCTGAGTCAGGTTAAAAGTTTGGCCAGACAGATCTTTCATTTCTCTATTATTGCTGTTTGGGGATCGGTACTTGTACGGCCATCTATACTATTCTTGCTTCCAGTGATATAGGCAGGCAATGAGGAAATGATTTCAGTGGCTAACAGGCAACAAAGGTTGTGAGAACATAGTAACCAGGGAAGCTGATAAGAAAAGCACAAAGCTCTGATGTCATTACTTACCTTTAGAAATATAGGTTACACTAGAAGCATATATATTTGCTTTGATTTTCACTGTATTTTGGTGCTAATTTCTCTTTTTATTTGCATGTACTTACATTTCTGCTATCAATTATAACATTATTGGGGGAAAAAACTTTAATATGGTCCTGTGTTTAAACAATATTTCATTTATTTCAATATATGGGACACAACTCTTTACACTTTAATGCTTTGACTAATAAAACAGTATATGTGTCTGCAACCAAAACCAACACTACCATGTGCCAATTAAAGGAATGCCTGACAAGGTAATTCTGTGTAATTCTTGTTATTGCACAAGAGGGACTTCCAGATTGATTAGACTCAACTGTCCTAAGGTGTTTAAGGGAAAGGAAAATTGCATTATGTGTGCAATAAGATAACGAGCATATTGGTGGACAGAATGGACCACAATGACTGTCCAGTTGTACAGATAGCAGCAATTATACCAACACAAGTTTTCAGTAATGGCTAAACAATTCCTGGAAAATATATAACATACCTTTACTTGATGTGTTGTTTAGAATTTATGAAAGTAACTATCAATTTGGTCAGCTTAATTGCCTTAAAGGAAAACTGTACTGAGTGGAATATATGGGCTGCCAAAGCTGTCCTCCATCTAAAAAAAGCTAGTTGTCTGTTTGCCCTAAATGAGAAGTGTGCTTATGTTTCTCAGGCTCCTAGTCCACACAACTAGGGTTTTCATAATATAACATAGATACAGTATCTGAGATTCCTTTCCTTAGAAACTTACGATGTGCCACCTCCCCCCTCACTGCAAAGCAATTCCCAGAATCTGCTGCGCTCAGCTGAAATGGAGCCCCGGCTTGTCAACATGTTGGTGGGATTTCCCAATAAATAAAATGGTAAATGCGACTGAAGTGAATGTAAAGTGAGAAACCAAGGAGTTTCTTTTCCTTACCGAGCCAAGGGGAGATGTGTCTCTAGTGTGCCATGTGGCAGGGTCCAACCAGTAATAGTCCAAGTCACCTGCAACAATTTTAAACATTGGATGATGAAAGCAGGTATGTATGTGTGAACAGTAAGCACAGTAAGTAATCATCAATATCAGAAGAGTTAATCCATTTTATTATTTTCCAGGAAGAAATCAATTCAAATTAGACCTTTACCTGAGAGGAGGAGGTGTGCTTTGATGCAATATGTAGGTGCAGACCTCAAAGAGTGGCCCATAAAGATTTTTGGTGGCATTGGATTATTTAAAAGGCTATACATTTGATAGAGATCTAATTAAAAAAAATAAACATTTTGCAGGGTCCAAAAAAGAGAACTGATTCTATGGTTGGTTTAAGTAAAGCAGCAGTGGCGTAACCAGAGTTCTGGGCGCCCGGGGCAGAAATTTCCCCCCCCATTATATAAACTACCACTGGAACTGTACCCTGCACCCCCCCCACACACACACACACACACACACACACATGTTTTTCTTTTAATAGTAAAGATTTTTTTACTGTGGAAAGTAAATGTTCAATGGGATTAGTAAATAAGGAATAACTGTATTCACTTTAACCATCCAATCAGTTACAAGAAAATGTCCTGTTTTTTTATATTCCCTTGCAGATGATTGGCTATTATGCAATGTAAAACACAGCATCCTGCTCATTCAATAGTGCCAGTTTCTACATGTTAAGTAAACCAATCCATTTGGGTCCCAGATAATGAAACAACAAATGAAGGAATCTAGTAAACTGCCAACAGATACTTAGGGGGTTATTCACTAAAGAGCTGAAGGATGTAGCCAAACGTTCGGCTATTCCTTCGCTCACTTCGGCTGCAGGAAACATTCGGTTCAGGCAAACCGAAGGGCTGCTGTACACAATAGTCCGTACAGCAGACGAAGGAAACAGCCGAGCCGAACGCATATGCTTTGTCTAAGCTCAGCCAAAGACACAGCGCTAGCATGGAGAATGTGAAGCTGACCGAATCCCGGCAAATTTTAAAAAATAGAATAGAAAAAAAAACGGCCCAGGGTCCCCCTCCCAAATCATACCAGACCCTTTAGGTCTGGTAGGAATGTTAGAAAGGACCACCGATGTGAAGAAAAAAACGTGTGGAGTTCCCCCCCCCCGCCCCCCCTTTTGGTCTGGTAGGAATTTTAAGAGGGACCCCAACTCCCAAAAATAAAAAAAAATGTGGGGTCCACCCTAAATTTCCAAAGCAGACCCTTAATCTGAGCACTGGCCTGGCAGGGCAGGAAAGGGGAGATGAGCGAGCGCCCCCACCTCCATGCACCAGGCCACATGCCCTCAGCAATGGGAGGGTTCTTTTCAAGGGGGGACCCCCTGGAAAAGCAGCTCGTCCCCATGCTGATGAGAACAAGGTCCTCTTTTCCACAACCCTGACCCGGTGGATGTGAGGTTCTACAGGCAGGGGGGCTCATCTGCATTTGGGTACCCTCTTTCATAAAGGGGGCACCCAGATGTCGCCCCCCCCCTTGTGAATGAATAAGGGGTAGTTGTTACCCCTACTCATTCACCAAAGGGTTAAATAAAAAGTAAATAAACATACCACCCTTTTGAGAAAATCCTTTAATTGAACAAAAAACACAAACACCGCTTTTGACAAGTCTTTTAATAGTAATAAAAATAAAAAGGTTGTAATCGAGGGTCAATCACGTTGCCAAGCGATGTAATCCAGCATTAATCACGATGATCGAAGCCCGCCGACTCATCGAAAACAAAAAAGTCCCGCCGTACCAACCACTCCCGACGAACTCCCGCCACAAATGACAGCTCTGACAGCTTTGGCCCGAATGTAAACAAATGGGCGGAGCAAGTCAGGGTCCCGTACCGCCCATTTATTTTCATGCCATTTCAGGTCCCTTTGTTTACATTCCGGCCGTAGCTGTCATTTGTGGCGGGGGTTCGTTGAGAGTGGATGGGTCGTCGGGTGGCGAGACATTTTTTATTTCAGCGAGTCGGGGTCGTTATAGACACTGGATTACATGGCTGGACCACATCATTGACCCTTGATCACATTGTTGGATGCTCTCTCTCCTTTCCCCTCTTGTTTGCCCTGCCAGGCCAGGGCTCAGAATAAAGGTCTGGTTTGGATTTTTTTTTTTT